TACAAGTTTGATACATAAAGCTACCAAACGATCCAAGGCAATGAAATCTTCAAGTCTTGAGTCCTGTACCTGAAATATACCCCAGTAACGTAGGGGTGAGTAACATAAAACTACTCGTAGGAGGTGAGCATGCATCGACCTAGCGTTTTACAGTTTTATTACCTTAGGGTGAAACATGTTAAAGGAGCTCATGCCACCTAACGTCTATGTCAAGTGAGACTCAGGGAGCATCCTAAGCTACCTAGATCATTTCTAGCATAATCACATTGTTCATGCAATTCAAACAACATGGAAACATGTTATACAAAGCAACAAGATATAGATTTTCAAAGTATTTAAATTGAAACCCAAGATACGAAAATAACAAAAGTGGGTCATGCCACCTAACGTCTATATTCAAAATGAATCTATAGGATCATTCCTAAACTACATTTGAACATCAAAATACAATTTATGATATCAATGTAATTTAACCGACAATGGAACTTCCAATACAACGCACAAAGCATGCTTTCACAAAGTTACATCTTAAGCTCAAAATAGAAAATCAAATAAGGAACCACAAGTTACGATATCATCTAGTTATCAACTTGAAATGAAATACGAAATCAAACAAAGTGGATACTCAGATGTCACGCCGGATCAGACCGACAACATAGTTACTTTAGGGTTACTAGCCCATGGGTAACTTCCCTATGTGCGCACTAGACTATATAGAGGGACAATCCCCCGTACTAGAACCAAGTCCTAGCCGTAGCCAACAACTACATCCCCAAGTTTCCAAAATCAACAAATTGTGCAACAACGTATATATATATATATCAACATGTATATACAAGATATCAACCATTTACTAAGCACAACCCAATTTTTGAAACATATACAATACATGCTCAAAGTCTACAACTACTATGGCATGAAAAATGTCAAATACAAAGTTTGCAATTCCTTACACATAGAAACAATCTATTCAATAAGGAAAAACATATTCTCATGAATATAAAAGTAACAACTATGTTATCCAATGCTCAAAAGTAATCAAGTGAACATACACCAAATCCAAATCCATAATTTAAATATAAAAATAACTTCCAAAATGCAATTAAATCTATGAAGTAATAAAATAGAATTTAATTAGACATAAACTGTTAAATTCTCTAAATTCCAAGTTAATCCCAAATAACCTCAATTTAATATATATTGAAGGGCATGTCATGGTCATCACATATATAACATCAAATGACAATTTAAGTGATTGAAGCACTTAAAACAAAATTAATCAAGCTAATTAATTAATTTCCTCTAAATTTTTAAACAATTGCAAATGCCCTCAATTTAATCTATGTTAAAGAACATGCCAAGGCCTATTTAAATACCACATTAAAACTTGATTTCATACTTGATACAACCATGTGAATTACACTTTCACTAAAGATAAATATTAAATAAAAGTTATAATTCTTAATCAAATGAGCCAAATTTAATATATGTTAACCAACATATCCAAGCAAAATTTTATAGCATGTTACAATTCAATTCCAAGTCATACATATCCTTGAGCATTAAATCATTTATAAAGAAATTAATTAAAATTAAATTCCAAGATTTATACAAAACATGCATACAAGTTGTATAAGCATATATAATCATCAATACAATACAAATATAATCCTAAAACACCCCCTACCTCAATTTGAGATGAAAATCTCAAAAACCATCAAAACGAAACGGCTCCGAATCTGACGAAACTCCTAGGTTTTGTCGGGGACAACACGATCTATATGAATCTCCAAGAAGCCCCATGAAAATCCAAACTTGGCCTAAATCCCAAATTCAAAATTTGGTCAGAAATCGTTTCTAATAAGGGGTAATGGTAGAGTACGACGAGGCGAGCAACAAATGCAAAGGCCGAAGGATTTTCACTTAGGAAAAGTAGGTTAAAGGAAGAAAGAGAAGATGGCATCTCCATGGGCATCCATGGCTGCCTTTGGTCGTGCAAGGAGAGGAGGAAGAAGAAGAAAATCTGATTTTTGTTCTTTAAGGCACCTATTTATAGTAAATCACAAAAAGTGCCCCGAAAGGGACCCGCCAGGTCCGGAAAAGTGAATTTTGAACAAACGCGCTCAAACAGCAAAACTCCATGAACGAAAAAGATTCAAAATGAGAAAATATGAACAACAAAAGAAACGGCGTCAAAAACTAAGTCCCGAGCAGAAAGTTATGCTCCGAACAAGTTCGGCGGCAACCGGGTCCAGAAACTCTAAAATTGGAGAAAAACGACCAGAACGGAATTCTATGAATTTACAAGTCAACAAAAAGTGAAAATGAATCCCGTACAAGGATTAAGGCTCCAGATAAGACATTTTGCAATAACTTTCGTTAATTGCACAATGGGCCCTACAAAAAGGGTTAACTGCGAAACTGCCCTAGAATAAAAATATCTTCCAAAAGATATTTTCTTAGATGCCCCTGAAATAAAATATCTTCAAAAGATATTTCTGAAAAATACCCCAAAAAATGAAATTAATTCCAAAGATTTTATGCATCTATGCCTTTATGGGCACCGGGAGCAACCATAGTACTTTTCTTGCAAAAGTAAAGATACGTATTTCGTGGAAACCACTCACGATAAGGATACGTGAAGTCAAAAACCAACTCCGAGCGCAAGAAGTGAGGTTGTGCCAAAAACTGACAAACGGAGATAAGACGAAATAGGGAAAATGACAGAATAGGGAAAAGACGAAATAACGCATAGTGTCCAAAAACGAAAAATGCGAAAATGACTCGGTACTCAAAGAAAGTTGTTAATTCACATAAAAGAGTCTCAGAAATAAATTCTGAGCATTCGAGATGACACTAAGCGACAAAAAATCATCCACAGAAAATAAAAAACAACGGAAAAAATTTATCCGCAAAATTTGAGGAAAAAAGGGAAAGGAATAAAATGACCGGGTCATTACACTAAGGGTTTGTTGGATTGAGTGATTTGAAAGGATTTTGGGAAAGGGGGGGGGGGGGAAGAAAAAGAAAAGAAAGATAGTGAAAATTGTGTTTGAATAACTTTTAATGAAGAAAAAATTAAAAAATTGTGATCCCTCCTAGGGTTGGCAATTTTTACCGTTTCGTTAATAACGGATATAGAAACAATTTTTATACCATTGGAGTAGGCATGGATATAAATTTTGAATCCATCATGGGTCACGGAGTAGGGACGGGTTCTGATACATATCCACTCGCTCCGCCTCGCCCTGCTAACATATAATTCTATTTAATATATATATTATATAAAATATTAATAACTTATATGTGTATATATATATATATATAAAAGTTTCAATCCTAACTAAAGTGATACTATACTAGCCGCGCATCAAGTAATCTGTCCTCTCTTACACACTATCTCTCTCATGACTTGTGTTTCTAATATTGTAATTGGTCACACAATCTTTGTGGTTGCTCTCGCCTTAACATATCATTTGGTTGGCGGTGAAACAAAAACTTGGAGCAAAGTTAGGCAGTACTGTTTAGGCAATCTTTCTTTATCTTCCAACGCTAAGCCCTAATTATATATAGTTTTGGCTTTCTAAGTTGCAATCTTCAAATTGTTCTTTAATTTGTAATGTAAATTATGCATTTATGGTTCATTAATTTCACAGATGAAGACATGTTCTTGTGATATATAACATTATGTATATGAACAATACTAAGGTCCTCACTAGTGAGGATTTATACCATACTCACCGCTGATGTGGACCAATAATAAACTGACATATTCTATTTTAAATATAAAATCATAAATGGTAATCAAATCATCATATCTGATTTGGTAAGTGAATATTTACCTATCAAATTCAATTTGGTAATTAAAGATGACATGTCCATTTATTATTGGTTCACATCAATAGTGAGTATGGTGTAGATCCTCACTGGTGAGGGCTTATTGTTTTTCTTAATATTTCTGCTTGTATTAAATATTAAATTTAAACAAAATTTGCCAATTATTTTATTTTTTAAAAAAATTATAAATCTGCAAATCTTGAAATTCCATATTTTATTTAGTAGATTTATTCATTAAAAAATCATAAAGTTAGTGAAAATTTTTGTTCGCGAGGCGGGCACGGGGCACAACATTCTCCGATGGGGCAGGGATGAATATGAATATTCAACTCGTTGCGGGACACAGGGCGAGCTTGGACTTGCCAATGATTAAACGAGGCGGGGATGGATTTAGGTAAACCCGCTCCTTTGCCATCCCTAATCCCTCCAAATTCCTCGTGTGATATCCTTAAAAAAATGAGAAGATTTTTAGAGAGAAAATGATAGTGAATAAGTAATATTTTTATAATTCCGAAACTAATGGCATTTGATTATCATCTTATAATATTTTATAAAAGAGTTATTGTTGAAGATGGATTCTGCGCAACCCGGATTTGATCTGACTTCCTGAATAAAGAGAAGAAAAAGTGATCCTACAAACACCGGTGTGTTACCGGTGGAGTAGGCTCCGACGAATAAGTCAGTGTGAATGATAATCTCCCTGGAGAAATCGAGATATTGAGTTAGGGTTTTTTGTCTACCTCCAAACGTCGATTAGCCCTCCCTATTTATAGGACTTGGGTCAGGATGTTACGTAGGGTCTACGTCGTCCTTAATCCTTATCATAATCTGTTGGCCTAATCCTTATCGTATTCTGCAATTCTTATCGTAATCTGTAACCCTTATTATATAATATACATACATATATATATATATATATATATATATATATATATATTTCTCATGTTTATCCAAACTAAGCCTCAAAGTTATATAATATGTGTGTATATGCCTGTAATATGTGTCAAAAACACTCTTGATACGTGTTTTAAGTTACATTTTTATTTTAAAACTAATATGCTTAGTAAAATTAAAATTCAAAGTTTTACATTTTTATTTTTTTTCACCAAAGTAATCATTTACAAACAAACATTTTGGGTATATATATATATATAGAGAGAGAGAGGTGACGTCCTCGTGTGATTCCTAAAAACCCCTTCTCGCTCCTATTACATTTCAAAAATTGAAAATTCCCACCGTTGCCCTCTTCTGCCCTCACTCTCTCTCTCTCTCTCTCTCCCCATCGTGATCGTCTTTCAGAATTCTTGGTTCACCGTGATCGTCTTTCAGAATTCTGGGTTCACCGTGATCGTCTTTCAGAATTCTGGGTTCACCGTGATCGTCTTTCAGAATTCTGGGTTCACCGTAATCGTCTCTCAGAATTATGGGTTCATCGTGAATTCTGGGTTCATCGTGATCGTCTTTCAGAATTGGGGGTTCATCGTGATCGTCTTTCAGAGTTCTGGATTCATCGTGAATTCTGAGTTCATCGTGGTCGTCTTTCAGAATTCTGGGTTCTTTACGGTAAGCAATTTGTTATGTTTTCAACCATACATTTACTATACTTTTGATATTTTTTTTTTTGTTTTTAGATTTCATTTTTTTTTTTTGATTTTTCACAATCAATCGGATATTTTGCCCCCTAATTAGTTATTTAATTTTATTACTTGTTCATTCAATCTTTCTCTCATCCCCAGAATATGGCAGCCCTAAAAGAAGGGCTTGAGGCCTTCCAAAAATACGTCACTGCATGCTTTCGTGAATTGCTGGACCGCCCTGATCTTCTTTGTATATCCTGGGTTCAAAAATTGTTAGATTCATTGGTCTTGATCATGGGAAAATTCAACTCTCTAATTTCTGATAACAGGTCATATTTGAAAGAAATAGAAATGAAGCAATTGATTTGGCTTCATAAACTAAGGTGCGACAAAGCTTTGATGGTGATCAAAGCTACTTTGGACGGACTAATATTCATAAGACATAGCAAAGCTAGTTTGGAAGTCTTTTGCTCTGTTTTAGATGTTAAAAAATTTGATACCATTCTGAGTGCAAGAGCCTCCTTGGATGAGTTTATGGAGATTATGAATCACGAGAAAGAGAGCAATAAAGCTATTCAAAGGTTTAGGATTGAAGGTAGACTGGGGTTGCATCCATACAGATTATTCACTTGGCACACTGAAGAAGAGTTCTCCGTGGCACGAGAATTATTTCTTTTTGGCAAGCATTTTGTAACCCCCACACAAGTTCAGATTGCTAAAACTGGAGGTCTTGCCCATGCACTTTTTTCGATGGGTTATGTAATTTTTTTTGCTATGTGGGCGTTGGCGGCAGCGATTCCTTGCAGAGATAGAGAGGCTAGTGGTGCAGTATTTCGCCGGAATTCTGTCTATAGATACACTTGGTTTTCCCCTTTGATTTTGCTACGTGACAAAATTGACATTGTTGGGAAGAGGGCGGATAAGGTGAACTGCTCTGGGTTACTTAGTGAGCTGTGTGATATGGAAATGCATGCTAAAGACTTAAATGAGATGATTGTCCGGTTGAAGGACCCGTTGACTGAGGAAGAGAAGGCAGATCTCTCTCGCAGAGTAGAAGAGCTAAAAGGGGTTTTGGCAACAATGAATGACAGACTCTACCCAAGTCGCAGAATGAGTAACTCTTTTGATGCACACCTTAAAAAGGTGTCCAGCACCATCGGTGTTTTTCGAGCTGATGTTGCACATTGGAAGGACAACCCCCTTGGTACTGATAGCTGTGACGCAGACGTAAAGTACTGGAAAAAGTTCTTTGCAGGTTAGTATTTCCCATTCTTTCATGTATTTCTTTTTGTAGCCATATATGTGAATTCTGATTCGTGTATATACATGTGGTATGTGAAATCTTTTGTTGGTGGTTGCTATTTGTGTTTCATGGTTCTTAGCTATGTGGCATTCTTAATATAAGAGGTAGCTAGGTTGCTTGTTTGTTGAAATGAAGTCTGGGTAGGTTGTTAGTAACTTAACTAGCTTGGTTTTGTTGTTGTCAAAACCACATTGAGATTGACACTTGAGGACCAGAAAACTAGGAAGGACCGATTACTATTTAATCATTGACGGACTGAGAAGATGTCATTAACCTTAAATTGCGATGTAAAATCAGCAAAGTGATTGACATTTTTCTTAGTCAACAATTGTACCCTCTTTACATTTAGATGAAAAATTTCTATAGTATTTCCAGAAAGACTTAAAAGAAGCTTGACCACATTTCCATTTAATGAAATCAGAGCCTTGACTGATTGGAACATGAGTAATCTGATTCCATATTTCAGTAACCTCATTTGCCATAATTTATGCTCTACGTTTTGAATTGGTGAACTGATCTTAGCTGTTTTAGGAATATCAAACAATCGGACAATCCTGTGTCCATAAGTCTGAACTAGGGAAGTACCAATCCAGGGGTCTTAAAAAAATTTCAGAGACTGCCCATCCCCAATAAAAAAATTGACATTTTCAAACATAAATTCTTTTACCTCTAACAGGTTCTTCCAGAAGTTGGAGTTATTATTCATCAATGAACAGGACCAAATAGAATCATGCTTAAGATAAAGATTCTTCAACCATGGTATCCAGATTTTATCCTTTCCTTGAATGAAATCCCAGAATAAATTGCACTTGATGACCTTATCTATTTCTGCAACCCTTCTTAAACCAAATCCTCCTTCAGATTTTGGACAAGCAAGCTTACTCCATTTAAGAAGAGGAAGTCTCTTAGAATTAATTTTACCACCCCAAATGAAGTTTTTAATCATTTTCTCAATTATAGCAACAACTGCAGCTGGCAATTTGAAGGCAGCACACCAATAATGAACAATAGAATAGATCACAGACCTTATCAGCTCAATCCTCCAGCAAGTGATAAACTAAGAGAACTCCACCCATTGAGTTTTGTAGAAATCTAGTCAATCAGAGCTTTACAATCATTCTTTTTCAAAGCTTTATCAATCATAAGAAGCCCCAAGTATTGAAGAGGTAAAGAACCACAATTCATCTTCAAGATTCTGCATAGAGTTCTTTTCCTTCTAACTGCTTTAGAGAAGAAGACCTTACTTTTTCAAACTTCACATCCAGACCAGAGTGGGTTTTGACCTTGTCAAAGTTATTCAAAATACATTTCACTGACCTCACACTTGCTTTAGCAATCAGAAAAAGATCATCAGCATAAAAACAGTGTGTGAATACCAAACCACCCAATTCAGCAGTAACACTAGTGTGGAACCTCCCAAGAACCTCATTAACTCCATCAGCACATTATGAGGGACACAAACACCCCCTTTCTTTTCTGTTCGATAGCTGATAAGATTCCAATCACCAATGATAACCCATGGTCCATCAACAAGTGATTTACATTGAGTTAGGCTCCTCCATAAGTTTTTCCTCTGTGAAACACATTTGGCTGCATAAATGGGAGTCAGGAAGAAACATTTATTATCAGAGTATTGAGACACTTTGAGAAGCATCCACTGGTCCCCTTCTTGCAAAACCTGAAATAATTCAGATTCCATCCCACCACAATTCTGCCAAGAGGGTGAGAACTACTGTTGTTAATCCAGCACCAATATGAGTTACTTCTCTTCAACACCTTCAATTTTATGACTTCTAAGTCTGGTTTCTAAAAGACAAAACAAATTTAAAGAGCACATACCAATCCAATTTCTAACTTCTTTTTGCATAGAGGGTCTATTTAACCCCCTAACATTCCAACTGCCTAACATATAGAAGAGGAAGAAGGAGTTGGGGCACCCCCATTTATCATAGCCCTAGTAATTCTAGAAGAGCTCATAATTTTCCTCCTTGCTCTTGTATGTTTGTTCTGATATTTAGCAAGAGGAGGACCATCATTTTCAGCTTTACCTTCTTCCATAACCTGAACTGAAGTTTTCTTCTTTGCATTTGGAGAGGTACTCAGCCCTTTCATTTAATCCTTTGTGTTGGCGTTACCATCTGAAGATTGCAAAGGCAGAGAGTATAGCTTCTGAACTTTATCCCTCACATACCCTTCAAGAATACCTTCGTGTGGTCCACTATAACCTTATTCTGTTCATCATTAGCAAGATTATCCAAAATTTGAAATCTGTTCGAATTACTATTGACAGAAATAGAGCTCTTGCCAGTAGTAATAGTAGGTTGATTATACTGCACATCCACTGACTCATCACTTGTATCAGATTGCGACTGAATTGAAATAGCGATGGGGACTTGTTGGGTCTTTTAACATTCACCATTCTGGTGCTCCAAATTAATATCACTTGCCACACCCTTACCCTTTCCAATTACATTTCCATTCTCAGAAGTTTCAGCTTTCTTTGGCCGCCACACCTAACAGGAGCTTTCGAGCACTGCTTTGAGGAATGACCGAGTATCTGGCAATGATCACAGGGTTTAGGAGCCCACCGATATTCAAACTTAACTTCCACACACTTCTTTTCTCCCACCATAAGATCAACAGATTCTGGAAATTGACAGTTCACATCAATTTCGGCACAAATTCTGGCGAAACTGATCCTAGACATGGCTTCAGTGACAGAATCAGCATATACCGGCCTTCCAATGGCACTTGTCACACAACTAAAGCCTTTAGCAGTGCAATATTCTAGAGGAAGGTTTAAAACTTTAACCCAAATAGGAATCTTCTCCATTGATTCTTTCACTAAACTCATCTTTGGCATCCATTGCTTTAGCACCAAGTAACAACTGGCAAGGACCCAAGGACCACTCTCTAGAATGGATCGAGCATTGGGAGAAGAAGAGAATTGAAACAAATAAAATTCACTGCTACGAGGAAAAACATCACACAACTCAGCTTTTCCCTACAATTTCATGGCAAGGGTTTTGACCAAAGAGAGAAGCAAGTTTCTGCCAATGAAATATCCCACTAGGGTAGTTTTCCGTTTATCAGAAACAGCATCTTCTGGAGGAAAGATTTTGAATCTCTTATCTTTGATGTAACAGGGTCAATATACTCCAATACCATACGAGGCTGGGAGTCTGAAGCAACAACAGAGCTCTAGGATTTGTTTTTCCCCGCGTCAGACAAACCTTTGTTGGGTTGTTTAAATATTTCCACATTGGTCATTACAGAAGAATGGACAGGATTAGAATTTTGGCGTGGACGGTCAGGAGTAGAAATTTGGGCATTTGGGCTTAATGGCCTCATGTGACTAAGAGGTGGAAAGATAACAGAGTCTGTTACAGGAATTACCTCTTCATGCTCCTCATGCACGTGAGCTTGACGTGCCACCGTGGAATCAACCCTCAGTGCCATGCTCCCATGGTTCCGAGTCTTCCGACCACCAGCAACACCATTTCCAACTCCAGTTCTGTGATTTATGACATTTCGAATGGCTTTCTTGGAAATAGACTTTGCAAAAAAAAAAGAAAGAAGTGTCCGCTGAGAACGAACCATATTGTCTTTCAAGATCCAGAGCCTCTTCAGGAACAAACTCACCTTCCTCAGCCATCTGAGACCAATTCATAGTCGTTGGAGTAGTTTCAACCACAATCGAACCAGATTGAACGTCAATTTTCTCAACTGCAACTGATTTATCTTGAATCTTTGCTTGTGGCAGTGGAGTAACAGAGCAAAAACCTCCATCACTGCCGACCACCAAAGTTGATCCATCACCACTACCTCTATTTGATGTCTTTTTATTTAATTACAACTCCAAAAACTTCCTAATTTATCTCAAAGTCATTTAAATTTCAATCTATATACTAGGGTTCTTTTAAATGGGAAAATAGAGAAAAGGTAGGGGAGAAATTCATGGAGAAATCTTCTGAGAAGATCTTGAGAATTGCGCTATGAGGAAGTGAACAGTTGATATAGTTTGATTTAGTGATTCCTTATAGTAGGGGGGTGAACATATCTACTCGCTTCTTTTCGTGACCGATAACTTGTGGTTTTTATTTGGCATGCATAATAGTGGTAATCTGTATTAGTAGAGATGTTGTGTTGCCAGGTATGCCACTGCTACTGCTGAATCAAGGATAGGACCCAAACTTCTTTGACTAAAACTAATAGTTTAGTAAACATTTAGAAATTAGAATTTGCGTAGTTCACTAAGCAAAAATTTTATTTTAATGTTCAAAACTGAATTTATATAGTTTAGCAAACAAAATTTTACGCTTATGCCTAATTAGCAAGGGAAGGACAGCCTGTGTGAGAGAGAAATGGGATGTGGTTGTCACTTATGCTGACTTAATGAGTCCAGGTCAATCCCTCTTTACTTAGTTTCTTTTGTACGAAGGGCATTAGAATGGAGAGTCTCATTAACTTGTCTATTTGTGCGTGTGTTTCTTTAATGAAGGAAGATGGGACTTGTATAGCAAGATTGCTATAAGTAGTAAAAGCTGATTTAGGACTTACGAAGCTACTCAATATCTCCCAATTTCCCTGTCCATTTCACTCTCCTCTGGATTAAGAAAGCCGGAGTCTTGCTGGAGATGGGGATTTACTTTCTCCTTAGAGTCGATGTTAGCAAGAGATAATTTTAGTATTTTCATTCAAAGAATTTAGAAAACGAAATATATGTTGGTTGTGCAAGAAAATTGAAAAGCAACTATGCAGAATGCTACTGATGATACTTGAGTTATACGCAGAGCTGAAACTTGATGGGGGTTGATAAAGTGATTATTCAATGCAAATGAACAAGAAGCATGAAAAATGAACTACAATAGGAATTTAAAAGATGTGACCGTTAAATGGAGGAGATGGAAGCTAACATAGTCCAGTTTGTGAAATATTATTTACTTTGTCATTCTACCATTCATCCTGAACATTTCTTAGGCAATATGGTCTGGTTCGGTTGGAATATGCATGTCAGCTATATAGCCATCAACTACAAGTCAGTCTAACCTGGTACAGTTTGTGAAAAATATGCAAGTAGTGGAGGGGTTGCTTATTCATTGTATTTTAGGTCTGATGTGTCTGGGCTGGTTTAAGCTCTGATGCTGCAAAAGTAGGAGTTTGTAGCTTGTATTTTTAGGTCATTTCTCTGTTTAAGTTGATTGATCCCCAAGGTTCTTCTCTTTCTCCACCATTGCGTAATCAACTTTAGCTTATTGAGGCCCTGTTTGAATTGGCTTTTTACATGCTGCTTTTGGCTTTTTAAACTCAAAAGCTATTTTGAATAGTGTTCGGCTAATTTTTAAAAAGAGCTTTTGTGTCTTAGAAGAGCATTTTGGAGAAGCTAGGGGGTACTTGGCTTCTCCAAAACACTCTTTTGAAAGACACGGGAAGCTGATGTTTTAATGAAACTTTCAAAATAACAACTACACCCTTTTTATTACCCAGCAAAAAAATGAAATGCCAACCTGGTCCCGATAAAAGAGACCGTGTTCTTCTTCCCAAACCCTAGCGTGACAGAAACCTCACGTTATACCAGAAGATTGCCCGTCTTCTAACACTGAAACCCCACGCTCCATGAAATAACGTGTACACTCCTGCAGGCCATTTCGATATCTGTTTGTTTCGGGTTTACCCTTTTACTCATCCCGATCGCTTCTCCCTCTCTCTTTGCGAACACGTTTCACATGGCTACTTTAATCTGTACTCAATTTTCTTGAGGATTGATTTCTGTGTGAAATTAGTAATTCACATGATAAGCATTTTGGAACAACTGATTTAATTTTGCTTCTTTTGGTTTTTTATTGAATTTTTTTTTTTTTTTTGATGTTTCTGTGATGGGTTTGACGAGTTGTGCGATTCGATAAGGGTTTGAGTTTGTTGGAGGTGGGATGAACCTGCGACAGAAGAGTGGTAAAGAGGGGCTAGGATGGGGTTGATGATGTTGTTATTGTTTCTGTTAAAGTAACTAAGGAGATCTCAAGAACCGGTTTGGTTTGGGCTTGAACTCATATTGTTCAACCTGGAGCTTGTGTTACTCTTCTTCTTGTCATCCCTGCCCACACCTCAATCAAACTTCTTTAGCTATATTATATATATATATATATATATATATATATATATATATATATATATATATCTACATACATACACAAGTGTATAGGTTTTGCTCAATTTATCTTTAAATTTTGATGTAACAATGACAAATTAGATGTTCATTGCTAGAATCAATACATTTTTCTGTTTGTTGTTTGAATTTCTTTGAGTACGAAGTATTTTTCTTAAGAAAATGCTCAAGGGTTTTTAGTTACAATGCCCTGTCAAAAATGAGAAAGTGTCTCTATCATATGTTCAATTTTGTTCTTTATATTGTTGGTGTCCAGTATTTAGTTTTTGTGATAGTCATACGGCACCAACCACAGTGGCATCAATACTGTGTCTGGTGCGTGTATTTAACTTGGTTAATCGGGTTTGTTAAAACATATCACTTTGTTTTCTGTTTTTTATGTGTGAATCTTTGTATTTAGTTTTCGTGCTTCATTGCATTGTATGAAAAAAGTTTGTCAAATCATTCAAAAAATACACTCCATTTAAATGTCCTGCTTTCTTTTTGGGATGTCCCAAATAAGTATTCACTTTCCTGTTTCAAATTTTAAAATTCCCATATTGTCCTTAGTTTTTGAAAACCCTTTCAAATCAATAACGTGAATGTTTAAAATTTGTTGGGTTTTGTAATATTCTGGGAGGACAATGCATTAGGTGCATGTCCCCTTCAAAAGTTGGGGTCCCAGAGTGGGACTCTTATCAAGGGAGGACAGAGTTTATGTTTGTTTTGTGTGCATTCACGCTCTTGAACTTCAAAGCTTCACAATAAATTTAAACTCAACGGTGCTACCCCTCACCTTATTGGTATTCAGTTTGTTTTGTCATTGAGGTAGGTTCCCATTCATATGCCACCATCCACTATTCATATTCTATTAAGACCCCTATGAGTTTTGAATATATAGATTTAGTTGATTTCTAATTCAAGAAGAGAGGGAGAGACTCAGTTAGAGATAAAAAAAAAAAACCCACTTGGAGAGAGGGGATGGTGATACTAATTAGATCACTTTAATTCCCTTTTAGAGAGAAATTATAGAGGAAGTGTGGTCACTGTAATTTAGTGGGAGAATCTCCATGGCTGCCACGGACATAACCTACCCAAAGTGAAGGGAAAAGAAAATAATTTTAAACTAGAATCTATTTTTATATACACATATATGTCTATATGTTGTGTTTCTGTTTTTTGTATATATACATATATTTATGTGTGCACGCGCGCATACAGATCTTTCTGTTTCTGTTTGCGTGTGTGTGCACACACGTGCGTGCATGTGTGTGTGTGTGTATATATAGATATGCTAAAGGTGAAAGTAAGGGTGGTAAGAGCCAGCTTGTTGGAGTTCGAGCAAAGCAACAGTGTGGAAATTGATCAAGTAAAGGAAGTGGTAGGAGAGAAGAGAGGGAAAAGTGGTGATGGTGAAGGAGTGGCGGCAGTAGCCTATAGAGTAGAAAAGTGAGAGGAGAGAGAAAGGTGGTGGTGGAGGCATGGAGCGGGTGGTGGTGGAGGCATGGAGCGGGTGGTTATGGAGGAAGGAGAGGAAGAGGAGAGAATATAAAGAGATGAGGAAGAGATAGAAGAGACTCGGGTTATTATTATGGGGTGTTAACTTGTTCATTTTACCTCCATTAAAGGGGTCAGTCTATAATTTTTTTCTTCTGGAAGTGTAATTTACTGCCTGTTGCTGCCCTTCTGAATTCTCAATTGCCATTCTGGTTATGCATGGTTTTCTTAGATTGCATTTTGGTTTTGACAGTCTGTTTTCTTTATAAAGAGTAGATAGTGTGTGTTCCTTCTAACACATTTTTTTTTGTTATTTCTCTTGCAGAGTGAGGGCGATCTGAACTGAAGCGCTTATCTTTGGCTTCATGTGGCTGGTTTTAACCTTTTTGTTGCTCAGTTCATGGATTTGAGGAAATTTTGATTTGGCTAAATCACACACAATCTGACGGCTAGACGTCTTATAATTGCTTTGGTAGTTGTTCTAGTGCTGTATATTTTTGGTCCCCCAACAAAGCCATATAGCTGTTGCTACTTTTGCAGCTTCTTAAAACCTTCCTTTGTTACCTAATGTGGTAGTAGTCATTGATTGTCATTCTTTGAACACGTGTGATGGGGATTTACAATAGTATTTTCATGGATTTATTCCCGGTTTTCCAAGGAGACCAACAAAGTGTTTGGAATGATTTTATTGCCATGAATAAGTATGTTAGATACTTGCTTATTGCCTTTGTACTACCCTTCTTCGTTTCTGTCGTGTGTCTTGCTTTACTAAGTCTATCTTGATGTTCTGCAAGTTCTTGTTTTTGCATTTGTATTCCCTTTCATTATTATTATTATATTTTTTTGCATATGGTTGTTTTGCTAATTTTCTCTTAAATTTGTTCTTTCAAATGCAGAATGCTATTGCCTGTAGAAATTCAGTATTTGCCATTGCTGTTATATGTCTTTTTTTTTTTGGAGGCTGTGACATTTTTGAATATTTTAGTATCTGATTTTTCATGTATTTTTTTAGTTTTATCTATGTTTGTTTTCTTTAATTAGTCATTTTTCTATGGCCTCAGGTGGAAATGAGTTTTTTTTTTTTTTTTTAATTTCTCTTGAATCAAGTTCGATTGCATGGAATTGAAGAAAAGTTTAATTCAAAGTTAATATAGTCATGTTCGACTAAATTCTAATTTCAAGATTTCAATTTTATGTAGCTGTCGTACTCTTCTTTTTTTTCTTTTTTTTTTTCATTAATGAAATTCAAACCCCATTTTTTAAGGGGAGTATCCAAAGTTTGTAAGTCCCATTGGCTAGTAGTCAATTTACAATAGTAGTAATTAGATACTACTATGAAGTATAAATCTTTCTGTGGACTTTCCTCCCATCTCCTTCCTCCGGTACATGTCAAAACCTTAAATGATTGTTGCTTTAGCAAGGAAACATTAGGGGCCTGTTTGGCAACCTCTTTTGCTTTGTGATTTTGTTGCCCCATTTTGTTGCCAAATCGGTTAACACAAGGAAATTGCAAAAACATGTTTGACAACATTTCTTGCCTTTTGCACGGTATTGAATCTGCTTCAGAAAAAAAAGGCCCAAATTTGGAAGCTAGAAAAATATGTTTTAACTTGATTTTGCTTGCTACAGTTGAACAACAACTGTGAAGAGATTCTTTTAAAAGATCCAATATAATGTGTAAATGCCATATTTTTTTACAAACATCCAAACATCTTTCTTTTTCTTTCTTTCTTTCTTTTTATAAAATTTTTGAAAAACATTGTGCAACAAATTTAGTTACCGAACATGTTTTTGTTTTATAATAAATTATAGCACAACAAAAACATTGCTTCTGCTTTGTATGAAATTAAAATCGCAAAACAAAAATAGTTGCCAAACGAACCCTAAGATAGCATATTTACTTCTACTATTTGGTTACCAAAATTACAAGGGGAAGGGACCAAACAATCGCAATACATATGATTTGCAATAAAACTTGTAAGTAGCAAGCAAATCCACTCTATCGTCATCTCTCTCCTCTGCCACAATTATTGCCTCCTTCCTTTAGCTTTTCCTTTCACATTCTCATTACCCCAAAATAATTACCTACTACGTTATATAAGAAACCTTCATCTACATGGTGGACCTTGAGGTAAATTCTGAATTAAAATAAACCAATACGTAAATTCTGAAATAAAATAAACCAATACGTCTTCAAGTCACCGTAAAATAGATTACGTTGGCAAATTAAAAACTCTTCTTACCAAATTAGATAGATATATAGGGGTGCGATATTTGATATGCACATATTGTAGTTGGAAAGATCACCAGAAGATAAATAGCCCAGAAAACACATTGAGGGTTTTAAAAAGGAAGTTGCAGAGAAATGGGTGATGAAAAGGAAGGGAAAGATGGTTGCCGTTGAAGAAAAGCTCTGGAGTGACTAGGAGTAAAACGGGGGTTTCCTCCCAAAGTCGGTGGTGGTGGTGACTTGAGAGGTGGAATGTTAGGGGCTTGAATAGGCCGAGAATGCAGGGGGAAGTTAGCAGAGTTGTAGCTGAGTTTTATTCGAATTTTATTTGGATTAGAGTTACGAGTTGGAAAGTTTTCTGTTAATTCTAATAAATTAGCTCCTAATTGGTTGTGGAAGAAATTGGTGTGGTTGGGATCCTCCTTTAACGTTCTCTGAGTTTCGGTCCATCTCTGAGGGTAGTGAGAGTATGCTGCTTAAAGTGCTACATGTTAATTCTGGTGAATCTTTCCTGGTAAGCCCTGTATTTGCAGCAAAAACAGTGACTGAAAGGAAAGATATTTGAAAGGAGTTGAAGATGTATGCTTGTCTAGTTGATCAGCCATGAATTGGAATGTGGTTCGATTTCATGGGCACAGGATGGGTTGAAACAAGATTGATTCCTCGGGGTGTTGTTCTAGATGAATTTGATCGGTGCATTTTGGATGCTGGCTTAATGGAAGAAACACAAACGGCGGCAAGGGGTTTAGAAAAGAATTTATGCTAGAGACTTGATAAGAGTTTTTATTAACTCTCTGTCTGGTTAGCTAAATATCCCAATGCTCAGGCTTCCGTGCATACTGAGAGATTATCAGATCATGGGATTATTATAGTGTCCGCTTCCAGAACCGAAAGATAGTGGCCAATGCCTGGCGTGTGGAGGTGACAGGTAATCCATTACATAGATTTCAAAAGCCACTGAGGAATGTGAAAGGGGCTATCAAGTGTTGGAATAGAGATCATTTGGCAACATCTCAGATAATCTAAGCAAAGGCAAGAAAGGAGTTGGAGGATGCTCAGATTTTGCTTCAAAGCAACAACCTTCCTTCCAACGCAGAGCTGATTAGAAGAATAGCGGAGCAGACTAATCTAATGAAGAGCTTCTCTTTGCCCAGAAATCTAAAATTTTACAGCTGAGAGAGCATTGCAGGGTGCACCAGGTTCTTTCATCAAAAAGTATCTCAGCATAGGAACGCTAATGCTATTACTGTTCTGCAGAATTCTAGAGGACAGGTTTCTAGAGATCAATCAGTGATTTAAAATAGGTTGGTTGATTATTACACTGTATTTTTTCATAGTAGCGATGAAGGTCATCAGTGTTTAGAAGTTGATGCGTCTAGTGAAGATTTTTTCATCCAGATAAGGCTCCTAGGCCTGATGGGATTTATGCAGAGCATTAACAGTTCCTTATTTGTTGTATTTCAAAGAAGATTGTGAAATATCACTAACAAGATTATAACAAAGATTTTGGCTAATAGACTTGCTGGAGTACTTCCAAAGATGTTGGGATGGAGAAATTAGCTTTCGAGGGGCAGGAAAATTCAAGATAACATTATTATTATTATTATTTTGATAAGTAAAAATTCAAGATAACATTATTATGCCTCATGAGCTTGTGAGGAATTTCAATAATTCTAGGCATCCTGCTATGGCTCTCAAAATTGACTTGACAAAGGCATATGACTCGGTTTCTTCCATTGTTTCATAAATTTGGGTTTTGGGCAGAACTTGATGAGATACGTAAGAGCTTGTTTGCCGCCTTCTTGGTTTTCTGTTCTAGTGAATGGCACTCTTCTTGGGTATTTTCAACCTAAAAGAGGGTTGAGATAGGGTTGCTAAATCTCTCCTTTTGCTTTTTACCCTTGTTAGAGAATATTTATCTACAGGAAAGTGGCCGCTTACTGCTATGTTCAAAGAAGGACGAAAGAAAAATCAATGAATGAAAACAAGGCAGTTCAAAAGTATAGAGACAATGCAACATGAATCATTATAATGCCATAATGGGTGAAAAATAAAAAGTTCATCTGGCATATATATCAAAGTAACACTTTTGTTTGGCTTTACTTTTTTCTACCCTCTATCACATTTTCATGAAGGGTGAAAGCAAACTATCTACATGGATGGTTGCATGAATTTCCTCTTCTTTTTCAATGCCGTGTATGACAAGATCCGTGCATGTTCCCTCTCTTTTGTTGTATAAAACTAACTTAGTGTAGTCTATCAACAGCAGAGCTTCATCATTCCTCAACAAACCCAACGGCTCCAATTTATGTGAAAAGGGGACTTTGATATCAAGTTTAGTCCAAGATTGCTTCACCCCATATTCCTTCATAACCCAAATTGCATCACCACAACCAGATAGTACACAAAGGCATCCTTCAAACACCCCCATGTGGCATGTCCTTAGTTGGAACTTGGTGAAGGAAGTAGGCAAAGGAATCTTCCACAGCTTCTCATCCGCCAAACTCAAAGCAGCAATCTCTAATGTCATGTCTAAATTGTTGTTCATTCTGAAACGAAGCCAATGAAGGGCTCCATTCAGCTGTGTCCCATAAGGTACAACATGAAAGTGGTCCGGAAAGTCGTGAACTTTTCTCCAAGAACCAATTCTCAGTGAATATACATAGATGCTATCGCTGCGTGCGCTCACCAGTTTGTAATCATCAGAGCACTGGTCATACCCAAATCCAATTAGGCCACCAGGGGAATCGCAATCTGGTATTTCCTTGGACTCCCTCGTTGAAAGATTGAATACATATATGGAAACCCCATAATTTCCTTTATGGTAAATATCATCGGATTCTACGCCCATGGCTATCAACCCATTGCAGGAACCAATAATTTCACACCTGGGATGAGGCTTAATGTTCTGAAATAAAAATTCAACCTTTGCTTCCACAATGTCATTACCGGCTGATCCGAAGCTTATGGTGTAGAGACGGTATGGAGGGTGGGACGTGGCTATGAGTACGGACTTTGTGACTGACTGACTGAGGTGGGTTTTGATGAAGCATGGATCGGAGATCAAAGAGCGCCATGGTTTCGATACGCACTTGAATTGCAACAGAGACTTGACAGGCAGTTTCGAGAGTATTTGGACAACAGGATGTTCGGGAAGGAAAGGCAAAGGCATGGCTTCTTCTTCTTTATGATTTGCAATGATCTCTGCCTTCTTCTTCTTCTTATTCTTCAACCCCACCATGGCTCTGGCTCGGTTTCTTCTTGATCTACTATTTGGCAAGCAACTTCTTCTCTTTATCCTCATCGTAAATAATAGCATGCCAATTACTTCAATCTTCACCGTACTGCTTCAGAAAAGATTAAATATACAGGACCGACCTCATAGTATTCGGATCCGAGTAGGAATAGGAGTAGAAATTTCTTAATATGATCATCTCTCTGGCTCTAATGCATAAATTTTTTCTCCGAACCAAAGCCCCAAATTAAAATATAAAAAAAATTTGTGTTCGATTGAAATAG